TTGTCAGCGACCGCGACACTCGTTTCATGTCGGCGTTTTGGACTGCTCTCATGCAGGAGTCCGGCACAACAATGAAACCAAGTTCGACTCGACATCCTCAGACAGACGGGCAGACGGAGCGGGTACATTAAACCGCTCAAATGATGCTTCGTACGCTCATCCGTCCGGCCCAGAAAGATTGGGTTGACCGTCTCCCCGACATCGAGTTCGCCTACAACACTTCGGTGCATCCGGCGATCGGCGTGACTCCATTCGAGTTGCACCACGGTGGACGGAAAGGCCGGATCTTTGCAAACCTTCTCCTCCCTCGACCAATCGGCATCGACGATTCCTGCTCTACCGCTTCTGTTCGAAAGTATAGGGAATTGCTGACTCAAGCCCGCACAAATATGCAAAAGGCTGAAGTTCGCATGCAGCAGCAAGCCAACAGGCGTCGCGTACCATGTCCCATCCGCGTCGGTGATCTGGTTTGGGTCGCCTCGGAAGAGTTTGCACTGGAACAGGATGTTTCACGCAAACTGCTTCCCAAGTGGTTTGGACCTTGGTCTGTGACAGCAGCCGCGGACGATGAGCCCGATGGCCCTTCATTTGTGATCAACATTCCAGAGCATTTGACGGTCCATCCGGTCTTCCACGCCTCGAAGCTGGCAACATACACGCCAGCCAAGAGCGACGACTTTCCGGACCAACGATCGCAGGACCCTCCTTCTATGGATGGCCATCAGGAAGTTGACCGCGTCATCTCCGAGCGCAAGTACGGCAGCAAGCCGCGGCAGTACAAAGTCACATTCAAAGCATGCGATCGCGACGACACTCGGTGGATTTCAGGCGCAGATTTGAAAGCATCCGCGCCGCTGATCTACGTGCATTATGAAAAGCACAGGTTAGCTTAGGAAGCTTCACGACCAGCCCCTCCCACCCGGATTGTGATCCCTCCCTCAGAGAGACAGCTTCGCCCTCGCAGGTAAGCTCGGTTCTTCAAGGAGGGGGGGGTGTGGCATACTGCGTAGCCACACGGGCCCTGCAGGGCCCGTCCTGGACATTCAGCCTAAAAGCCTAAAACTTAGGGCTTACAGGCCCTGTTCGTTTCAGCCTGGATGCTGAAAAACGAGGGCCTGCAGGCCCTACCCCGCTTCAGCCTATTTCTGGGTCTTTTCAGACCCAGAGTTTTCCTCCTGAAACGGAGGGCCATTTTCAGGCCCTCATTGTTTCGACCTGCCCCTAAGACTCGGGCACGTAAACAGGGATGCGGAACAGGCCAGAAATAGCCTGTTCCTCACGAGTTGAGCAGGAGCTGCAGCTCCAGCCCCTGCCTCCCTTTGGCAGGCTCAGGAGGCACACCCGTAGTACATAGGAAGTTCCCATGCACTTCACGGGTAGGTAGTTCAGTAGGCACGAGGTAGTCTTCAAGACATCGGCCGCAGCACTCAGGAGGAGCGCTGCAGTAGTCTTCGGCGCTAGGCAGTAGTGGTAGCGCTAGCTGTAGTCTTCGGCGCTGGGCACCATAGCTGTAGCTGTAGTCTTCAACGTTGGGCGCTGGTAGGTGGTAGATCGTAGAGTGGGAGAGAGACTGGCGGATGCCAGTGTTACTTACCTGTGGCGCCATCGCTCCAGCTCCATCTTCGTGGTACCTGCATCAAGGCGCCAACTTCACAGGTTAGTACTGGACACAGAGAGAG